CGTGCATACTAATAGATAATAATCTGTTCCTTCTGTGTCCTCTGGATGTGCCCCCTCCGTCTTCATACTCATCCCAAAAATGAAGAGCCAGGAGCAGGCTAAACAGGTTCCCCCACACCCCCATGGAATCTTTACCTAAGAAGAGAGATAAGATACTTCCTAAAAGGGGGCTTGGGGAATTCCCTGGCGGTCCAGTGGTTACAACTCCGACTCCGCGCTTTCTCTGACGAGGGCGCGGGTTCAATCCCTGGTCCGGGAAATAAGATCCCGCAAGCAGGCGTGGGCCAAAAACAACTAAATAAATAAATAGGGGCTTGAACTGTCCTCCAAGTCCCTTCAACCCCATCCAGTCTGCAGGGAAGGCAATGGGCACTGGGGGAAGTAGAGAGCAGAGGAGTCAAACAGAAAAAGGACCAGGAGGAAGGGGAGCTCCCCCACCCCCAACTGGTGCACGCTACTGCCTGGGCAACGAGCATCCAAGTTGCAAACGTCTCTGGGCAGAGGTAGAAACCAGCATCCGAACAATCACACGTTGGGATGCAAACCCACCTGGCATCCCCTACACCCAAGGCAAAGACACCCTCCCCCAGCACGCTTAAACCTCCGAACTCTGGGCCCCAAGATTCAGCTTTAGAAGCCCGGGGCTGAAGGCACCACAGACAGCAAAGAACTAATCTCGGGGCTGGCTGGCCGGATGGGGCAGGGGACGGCGCACGGTCCCCAGGGAGCTCAGCAGTCCGAGCCCGCGTCCGGCAAGAAGCGGTAGCCGCGATGCTCATTCCGTGCCGCACTCCAAAGCCCACCCCGTCCAAGGCGCTGCTCTTCTAAGTGTCTCCTCCTCTGGGGGAAGGTGGGGGAAGGGTGGGGGAAAGAGGCAGAAGAAACCAAGCCGGGGCTGCCTTACCCAAAAGCCCAGTGCCCAGCCATCTCGCCCGGGCTGCGCCTCGGCGCCCAGCCCCGGGCATCGTGCTGTTCTCTGCCGAGCGCGCCAGGGGCGCGGGGACAGGATACACAGGTCACAGCCGCGCTCGCAGCCCTCGGTCTGCAGTCGGCCCCGAGGCTGCCGGGGAGCCGTGCGCCGCCGGCCGGGGCTCGGGAAAGTTGGCGCGGAAAGGGCGAAGAGGGGGAGGGAGGGAGAGGAGGAGCCGGCTGCGGGAGCAGCCGCGGAGGGCAAAGGGAGGAGAAGGAGGGGCCCGAGGAGGAGGACCCGGAGCAGCAGGACCTCCGAGCTAGTGCAGACGCGAGCGACGCTGCTCCTCTGCTTTGGAAGCGCTCCAGCCGCAGGAGGGGCGGTGGCCGCCGCGGAGCCCCGGGCGCCCCCGCCTCGTGGTCCCCGAGCCCCGGGAGCCAGCCGTACCGGCCCCACCACCACCACCCCTGCTTCCGCTCCGGCTCGGGCTGGGCGGCTGCGGCTTCGCCCTGCAGGGCCGCCCTCAGCCGCGCGCATCATCCCGTGCGCTGAGCTGCCATTAGGAGGATAGTTTGGGGACGAGTAGAGATGGAGCTTTTCGGCTGTTGGAAGGCTGTGATGTTCTGCTTTGAGGAACACGAGTAGGGTAGCGGCTCCCTCTCCCGGGGCCGCGAAGGGACCGCTCGGATGCCCGCAGCCAGCACTGCAGCAGCCGGCGGGCGTGTGCGGGCTTGCCCGCCGCGGCCGCCGACCCGCGAGTGTGCAGCCTCGCGGAGCCCCGCTGTGCAGGGTCCCGGGAACCCGGCTTCCAACTGTAAACTACCCCCGTCACCGCCCACCATCCTCTCCCACTGCTTCATGGACTCCTCGAAAATCATGATGCTCCTAGTTAGGGAATCGGCCAGACACCACCGATCGGGTCCAAGCCCCGCTTCACCCTCCCGCGGCACCCCTACTTCTCATTTTTCCCACCTAGGCCACCCCCCTCGGACCCTCCCCTTTTACCCCCCTCCAAGGGTGTCCTGAGTCCTTCAGAATCCTGGAGGACTCCCTTGGCCTCGCCTCCCTTTTGGGGTGGGGGTCGAGGAGCCCAGGGCAAATGTCCGGGCTTGGTGGGGGTCGCAGCCAGGCCAGAGGGCTTTTTCCCAGACCCTCTTGAGTTACAAGTGACTAGTGCTACTTGGGGTGGTTTGGTGACTCATGTCTGCTATCCTTCTCAGCAGCCCCTTCCCAGCCATCCCAGCCCCCTCCCGCCACCACAGGGCCTGTCTGAGGTCCTGACCCTCCAACCTTTGCCTGTCTGGAGACTGGTTCAGACCTGGAAACCTGCTCCCACTTCATGGCCTGACCTCTGCTACTGCCCCCGCACCGCCCACCTTCTTAACCTGGGGTCCCTGGGGGGCTTCAGAGATCATGGACCCCTTGAGGTTGTACTGGAAATGCTGAATGTCTCTCTTTTTTTCCAGGAGAGAGGCTTGCTCAGTATAGCTGTGATAGTGGTATAGGGGCTCTGGAGTTAGGCACTGGGGAATCAAGTCCCAGCTCCAGCATTTGCTGTCGTATGACCTTGAGCAAGTTATGCAACCTTCTGCAGCCGCTTCATCTGTAATATGGTGAAAAGGACGATATTCACCTCATGCAATTGTTAAGAGCAATGCCACCCTTAGACCTGGGCAACAGGGGCCTCAGCCCTGGGCTCCTGAGTTTGGAGGGCCTCACTCTGGCCCTCCTCTGGCCCTACGCCTCCTCACTGGAAAAGTGGTTCCTGGGACAGAAGGGAGGGTAGTCTATACACCTCCTCTTCTAGACCATGCTCCGAACATCCGGGACCCTGGAATTCCCTGTTCACGTGACCCGATTCCGAGCAGGCCTCTTCCCTGGGTCAATCCTCTCAGGAGCTGCCCATGCCGGATGTGCACCCACAGGCCGGGGCAAAGGGCAGCTGTTTACAGAGGGTGGGAAGTGGATGGAACTTGACGTGCAGATGGAGGGTTCCCAGGCATGTATGAGAGACCCTGTCCCAGCAAGACCAGGGAAGAGTGGACCAGGGAATGGCTTTTGGGCCTGGCCTTAAAATTAAGACTGAGGAAAATTCATCAAAGGTGGAGGATAATAGATGAGTTTTAACACTTTGTTATCTTGATTCATAACTTATATTTAGACATATATGTAATTATCATTTGTGCAGTTGCCCCAGGCCTCACAAACATCAGATGTGGACCTATGAAGACTGGATGAGATATTATCACACGTAAAAGTGCTAACAGAGTTCTAGGCATAGGGTCAGCCCGCAGTACATTTTAGCTCTCATCATTCTCAAAGAGGTCTGTGGCCCTAAAAAGGCTAAGACTCTTCCTGTCTCCAAGTTTGCACGTTTACCCCCTCCTTCTCCAGGAGCTTCCAGACACTAGATCCACAGGGCCAGACATCCACACTGCCCACTTTATTTTTACAGCAGGGGTCAAGTTTCTCAGAGCCGGAGGCTGATTTGAGACAGGAGGTGAGCCAAAGGGAAGGAAAGTGACCCCTGCCCAGAGAAAGGGGAAGGGAGGGGACAGCACTCCCTGGATATCTTTAGACCCTGGGGACACCGAAAGGTGCCAGCTTCCTCCGCGCCCTCCACCTTCTCAGCTGCCTCGCTGCTCACCAATTCCTAGAGCCGGAAGGGTTCTTACGAAACCCACACGCCTCCCAAATGAAGAAACAGGCCCAGAGAGGTAGAATGTGTGGCCCAAGGTCACAGAGAAAGTGATTCTTAAAGTCAGAATTAGAACTTGCCCCATTATTTGATTCCCTCCCTCCACACCCCCAGCTTTCCTCTAGAGAGCAGGAGGGCTCCACAGCTGGGCAGAAAAAGTGCTTGAAAGATGCATTAGCGGCTAGAGGAATTTTACATTTAGAGAGCACTTTCCTCAAAAATTCTCAAAACCCTAGTGCATCCATCAGATGGATGGGCACTTTGGCCCTTTCTGCGCCTCCGGCTGCAAGTCCCTAGAGGGCAGGATGGTGGTTTGGACACAGGTCCCCGCTGTGCCCAGCAGGCTGGCTTCGTGGTGGTGGGGTCCTGCACACTCAGGTCCTGGGCAGCCTGGCTCAGAGATACCTCGAAGAGCAAGTTTTCAGGGATGCAGAGACGGACTGGACCCTGAGCCAAGGAGCTGCCAGAAAGCTGTTCTCAGGTGGGAGGAGATGGGGCCTAGATTTAAGGGGAAAGGAGATTTTTCCAGGGGGGTGGGTGTGCGGGGGAGGGCTCAGGGTCTTTGAAGCAGTTAGTCCAACAGTCCTCTCTGAGACCAGGCAAGCCTCTGGGTTCCTGCCCTCCGCCTCCACCTCAGGGCCAGGATGGGAGCTAGGAAGCAGTGCAGGTATGAGGTTCAGTGTGTGGTGGGGAAGTGACACGGGCAGAAATGGGGGTCGAGCTCCGGTTCCCAGCCTCCGGGAGATGCTTTTACCCAGGCAGGTACTCAACCCTGGGGGTGGTCCCACCTTCCACCTACACTGGGGCGGGTAGGTGGAAGATTCCATCTCTGTCAATTCTCAGAAAGCTAGCCAAGACCCCGGCAGGGGAGGAAGGGAGAGCTCTGGTGAGGCCTCCAGAGCTATTTTGGGAGGAGTTCCTTCTAAGTAATAAGAGCCTGGCAGGGAGCCTCCTCCCCCTCTGGCTCCCCTATTGCCCTTGCCCTTGCCTGCCTCTCTGCCTCCCGCATAAGCCCTCTCGGCTCCTGTCGGGGCATTGCAGGTAACGGAGCTGGACGGCAGCCACGCTGACCCGGCTCAGAGAGGCAGAGAAGAGGGAGCTCTGCAGGGATCCACCCCCCCCCCGCAATGCCCCCACCTCCCAGCCCCTCTCCCTCTGACCTCAGATCACTCAGGTCGACACCAGGAGCTTATAGCCCAGTTATCAACAGGGCCCCAACCTCAGGACAGTGGAACTGCAGGAGCCGGGATGCTCTGCATACAGTAACTTAAAGTTGAATGCTCCCAAATCCTTCTGCCTCTGGGGTTGGGGCTGGGTGGATGCTACCTGGCCAGGCGTTTGGGTGTCTCCTTCTAATGCACCTAGGTCTGTTCCCTGCCCATCCCGACTCACCATTCCTGCCCTCCAGCTCAGTGCTCACTTGCCTCAGCCACAGTCTCAGCATCCACTGAAGTTTGGCAGGTGCTGAGGGGGTTAACAGGACAGCATGCACCAAACCAACCCGCAGGCACATGGCTCAGCAGCCCAGCAAGGAACCAGTACTGGCCCCCTCGCCCGCTGCTCCCCAGCCCACCTCGAATCTGACTTGGAGCAGCGATGAACTCTTCCTGAGCTCTCCTCACCCATCTCCACTTTCTCTAAGGGCTCTGGGCTCACGCACCTCCTCCATCCCTTCCTTCCTCTTTTTCTGTTTTCTGCCAGGTTCTTTCCAAACATCCCTTCAGGCAAAGGGGGGTGGGGAGCCCCAGACAGATGAGCTCATTGGGAGGAGGAGGGCAGAGGGAGGAGGGAGCTAAAACATCCTGACCAAGGAGATGCTCACTGGACAGTCCCAAGCTGGAGAGGGGCATGTGCCCCCTTGCAGGAGCAGGCGTCTGCTTCCCTCACTGCAGCTCAGAGATGGGGTGAGTCCTGGGCATCCCTTTATTCTGGGCCACTTTGGGGTAGGGCGTGAAGCCCCATGGCAGGGTCTCAGCCACCCTACCCAGCACCCCAGAGCTGTGTTTACCTCTGTGTTTCATGGATTACCATGCCCCACTGCTTGTCCATCATGGGAGGATGGGGGCTCAGGAGGGCTGGGGGTCGGAGGCATTGGGAAGGTTTGTCATTCATTGTAGGGGGACTGCCTAGTCAGCTGAATGGCTAGATGTCCTCCTGGAACCATAGACCTGGTCCTGCCGCTGAACTGGGCGCTGGGACAGACTGACCAAACCAGAAGCGTAAAAAGGTGCAGAGCGCCAGGCAGGGCTCCCCTAGTGTTCTGGTCCCATCCGCTATGAATATTTTAGTGTGAGAGCAGTGGATCTTGCAAAGTGAGAGGAGAGAGAGGATGTGGAGTAGAAGAGGAGATATGGCAGGGGCAGAAGGTCAGGAGAGATGGCCGAGAGGAAGGGAAGAAGCATGGGAGCAGGGGAGAGTCTGCCTGGAATGAAGGGGAACCTGGGAAAGTTGGAGTGAGACACAGGCCGAGGAGGAAGTGTAGGGATGGAGACAACTCGTCAGCAGGTGAAGAAAAGGTTTTATAGGTTTTCAGAAACCAGGAGAGGAGAGGGTGGCCAGCGGGAGCCAGAGCTGTTTGCACAGAGCTGTGGGGTCAGGGGCCAGGCCAGGCAGGAGGTGGGATGTTAGAGACCCACTGGGAAGCCTTTGCCTCTGCTTCCAAACACTTTTGCCCATCTCTGGCTGTCCACGGTCATTTTGAGATTGGCTCCCAGTCACCCTTCCCCCACCCACTCCTAGGTCTCTGGGCTGCAAGAGGCCAGTCCACTGCCCTTTCCCAATCACAGCCTGATGTGATTGATGGCTTTGGCATCGCTCCACCCTGGGTTTGAATTCTCTGCTATTTTCTGTGTCACCTTGAGTGTACCCATAACTTAGTATAACAGGTCTCCTCATTTGTAAAAGTGAGACAAGAATGCATATTTGGGGAGTTGTCCTGAGTACTGTCAGCTGATACACATAGAATATTGAGCTCAGGGCCAGGCACAGAGTAGCTAATCAGTAAATGGTGTTCATCCTGATTAGTCTAGCCAGCTGTCACTCACCCTGCTACCACCCTGGCCCCACCCTCCAAACCCTTTGAGGCTAGATATGAGCCCACCCATCCCACATCCCTTCCCAAGAGCATCAGCTCCTGTGGAGAGCCCACAGGGTGTGAGCCTGCTATGGGACAAGGATGGGAAGGCTGAAGACTTTGACAAAGCTGGGAGGGTGAAGGGAGGAGAAGGCTGAAAAGATTGTCACCATTTTCTACAGTCTTGATTGAAGGACAGGGGAAGCTTTGCCCCAGCTGGAGGGCCAAAGATACAAGTTAGACTTGGCCTGATCTTTGGAAAGAAGTTCCTGAGGGTTCCTAACTCCAGATTTCCACCCTCTCCCGGCCTATTTCTCACTGTGAATAGGGGCTCGCCACCTACCCTCTCCCCACCACCATTGCTAAGTCGGGTAAAGATGAATAGGGCAAGCAGGTAGAAGAGTGCAGAGGCAGCCTGGGGTAGAGCGTGACTGAGTAACAAGGCAGAGGGACAGGAGTTTGCCCATTCATGTGTCCTGTTTATCTTCAGGCAAGCAAGAGTTAAACCTACTTCTATCATTTGAATCCTAAAATGAGGGCTGCAGAGGGCCATTGTCAGTAAATTTAGACAGCGTCTAAAAGTATGCCCTGACATATGAATCTTCTCGACAACACCCCCAAGCTATGCTTGAATACCTTCCGGGATGGGGAGCTCATTACCTCAGAGAAACTCAACCCTCTGCACAGCTCTGACTTCCATTGGATCAATATCTGCCTCTGTCCGCCAGCCCTAATGTTTCGCCCTGGGGCAGAATGGGTCAAGGCGAATCCCTCTCCTTGTGGCCACAGCCCCACCCGCTGTATTAGCCATCAGCTGTGACACACACTTCCTCTCCGGGAGGAACACGCCCCCTTCCTTTGCCCATTTGCCCACAGGAGGGTCTCAGTCTGCTGAGGCAAACAGTTCTAGTCCTATGCCACCTGTTTACAGGGAATGTGTCGCAGTTGAGAAGCAGAGGCAGCTGCAGTTGGGATAAAAGTGACTTTGCCAAGGCTGTAAGGGACAGCCCCTCTCATGGACTCCAAAGTAGCCAAGCTGAGCACCCAGTGTCCACTTGGCCCCCTTCCCAGCACCTCGTGGACTCTCAAAGTCATTATTGCCAGAGAAAAGGAGAAGCTGCTTTACAAGCTACCTACTCCCAACTCACCTACTCCCACCACCTCCCTCCCGCAGTCTTTCTCCCTTTTCTAGACAGAGGCCTCCTCAGCCCTGCAGAGGAGTGGGGTCCTAGGCTAATCTGTTTTAGGACCAAATTTATGGGCCATGTCACGATGCCAGGATATAGTTCTAAGATGGGCTTCCTTCCCCATGGCCCTCTGGAGCTCTCAAACACTGGGTGGCCGGAGCCTGTCCTAAAAGGTGGTTGGTACCCTGCACATCAGCATGGTAGCAGGCAGCCAGGAATGACTAGAACCTGGCAGGCTTCAGGGTCAATTTCACCATGGCCATCCGAGAAGAGTGCCCGCAGCGCCCTGCCAGCATGGACCTTCTGAGCCCCTGCAGTGCCAAAGGCGGAGGGCAGGAGACCTCAGTGGGGACCTGTGCTCCTGTGCACCCAGCTGCCCAACCCATATCCCACCAGGCACTGCCCCAGCTTCCTCTCCCCTGAAGTCTTTTAGCACAACACCTGCAACATGGGAGGGAGACAAGTGGCCTAAGATGGACCATATACAAACCAGCATGAGGAAAGGCACTCTGCTGAGGTGTGGAATGGGCCTCGGAATGGCGACTAAAACCAAGCTCTGTCATTAGCCTACTGTGTGACTTTGGGAGAATTACTTTCCCTCTCTGAACCTCAGCTTTCAAAACTGTGCCCTTACAAGAAGCATGGGGGCTTCTTTTTGTTCAACTCAAGCCCACTGGGAAGGGGCAGGCAGGAGCCTGGGCTGGTGTGGGCTGCTGTGCCGAGCTGTGCCGAGCGCTAGGCTCAGACTGGGTGTGGGCTGTGGGAAGAACAGGTGGCCTGGAGCCAGCTGGGAGATCCTGGATTGTCCTTGACTCATCTTGTGGCCTTAAGCAAATCACTTCCCCGACCTGGTCCTCAGTTTCCCCTTCAGGATAATCAGGAGACTTGGCCAAGTAGTCCCCGGGATCCCGCCCATCTCTGGTGTTGTAAAGATCTACTCTTCCCCCTCCCCCGCTCCTTTTGGGCCTCAAAACCTGTCCTAGGGACTCTGAGAGGCTCCGCATACAGACTACTATTCCGGGGCAGCCGGCCATGGGCAGGCCGATGGCTGTGCCTGAGCCCTGCAGGGGCTCCGGCGGGAAGCAGAGGAACAGTGGGAATGGAGAGGCACCAGCACCTCAGGTGGGGGACGCAGGAAGCCGGTGAGCAATTCTGAGTTGCGGGGTGGGAGCTAGCCCTTCCCGCACACGGCAGCTCCCTCCTCAATCAGAACTACCTCACCAGGCCCCAAGCAGCCTGAGCCCCAAAACATCAGTTTAGGGGAGACACCTGAGCCAAACCCAGTCCTCCCAGAAGCCAGGCCCAGCTCCACAGTGTCCTCCAAGCGCTCTGGGGGAGAAGCCTTGGACCGAGTTAGATGCTGTGTCCACCCGGAAGGAACCAGCCAGAATCCCCAGCACCTGAGTCCACATCCCCTGCCTCAGTTTCCTATCTGTTAAGTAGCGAAGCATCCTCTCTGACATCCCATCCTTGGAAGGACTCAGGGGCTCCAAGGGCAGACATCCTTTTAAACCAAGGTGCCTTTGGTTCTGTCAAACACCAGCCACCTCTGTTTAACACTGCCACCTTCTATCTGGCTTCTTTCTCGGGTAGCAGCTGCCGGCATTAGGACTACGAACGTTAGGCTACTCCTAGAATATTCTAAGATGCATCTGACCACTAAACCAGTGGCGAAGGTCTCTGGGTTACCAGGGAGCAGGCAGAAATGACAAAGAAACCATGAGAAAAGTAGAAACCAAGCACTTCAGCATTCCCTTGCATTCAGAAAGCTGAGGATTTTCTTATCGGGTGAGCCTCCTTGGCGAGGGTGTGTGGGTGTGTGTGTAAGAAAGAGAAAAGTGCAAAGAGATACAAAACCAGAAGGCAAGAGAGAAAAAGACTGGGTTGTCTGGGAGAGCAGAGCCCCTGGGCCAGGTGGTTGCCTTTGGTCCTGAATTGAGGGCCGATTCAGCAGCACGTAACTAGGATAGAGCAGTTCGCAGATGGGACATGAGCGACCTGATTCTTCCCTGCAGCCACCCTCATCCGTGAAGTTGCATGAGGGCAGACTCTGCACCAGCTGTCAGCTATTCCTCTTGAGCCCAGAGCAGATGAAATAGATGTCTGCCTAGTCAGACACAGCTTAGAAACAGGGGGCAGGAAGGATGGCCCGTCCACCCATGGAAAGAATAGACAACATCGGCATGACGGTTAGCCTTGGGGGCATAAAGTGTTGTCATCTTCCAGAAATAACCAAGAGCCCTCCAAGAAGTGGGTGTTTAGCCACCCTGTCCCCAGGGTGCTTTCAAGGTGGATGGAGTCCCCCAGGATTCTGTGAAGGCAATGAGGGGAAAAGAGGAAACATCTAACAAGAGGGGAGCAGAATGATCTCATCATTGATGGGGACCCAGCAGTGTCAATAGCATCACCAGGAAAGGAACAACAGGACTCCCTGTGAAAATCCTGGCACCGCCTCAACTTGCCCCACTCTGCACCCCTGAAAAAAGTCACACTCAAGGGATGTTCAGGGGAGACCATCTGTTTATTGCAGCCAATAAATCCAAGCAACGAGACAAACTACAACAGAAACTGTCTGCTCCCCAAAGCAGACACATCACAGCAGTTGGGTCACAGAGGACCATTTCAGTTTCTCTCTCCACCACCTCTTCCATTACCACATAGCACATAAATCCTAGAAAGTGCATAAGTAGTTGTGTTTTCCCCTCCAAGTGCACAAAGAGCAATAAGAACGTTCCATAATTTGCCTTTGGTGAATCAACTCAAAACACTGAGAAATGATTGTTGCCCCCTCAACGTAACTTTCGGGGTGGATGTAGTGAGATGTTTTATATTTGTATATATAATATATCTCTACCTATATATAGACTATGTACAAACGCATCAGCAAGCTTCAATAAAGGAAGACATCAGCAAGAGGCACAGCAAGAGACACAGGCTTTCTATCCTTAAGACGTATGTAGGAAGAAAAATTTCTCCATTCATCACCCGTTCCAATTGCACCAAGCCATTCCTATGGCCTGGGACTGTCTTTTGGACCTGGCCAGCATTTTCAATTGTCCACCTGCTTAACCTGACCTTGCAAATACTTACCAGCCCAACCTCACCAAGGAGACTCACAGGGAGAAATATGGATCCAGCTTTTCCTTTTTATACATTGGGAATAACTGTGATTAGTCCAGAGCTAGGGGGCAGATAGCTATTTCCAAAGCCAGTTCCAAGGCACCTCAAGGCATTTCAGTCCTGAAAAAGTGTGCTTTGTTCCTACGAGCTAAATCCCATGGGTTGGCAAGCCCATCTCTCTTTACAGGGGCCCTTAATTAGGAGAAACGGACAGATACGGGGTTCCAAGAGAGCAGGAGAGGCAGAGCTGTCGAGAAAACCGGCAGACTGAACCCAGCAGAGCACAGTGATGGGAACATGCAGCCAGAAGTAGGGCTTGAGCCCCACGGTGCAGGAAGAGGTGTACACTAGAAAGCAGGGTGCTGTGGAAACATCTCACCAGTCTCCCACCTCTACTCACAGAAGCTCCATTTTGTTCCCAGCCTCATTGCCCTGGGGGAGGCAGCTCTATGAGGCCTCTGGAAGAGCCTCTAAGAGGCTCGGGAAGAAAGTGCATATGAGGATGGGTACCTGAGACCAAGGTGGTTCCTGGCCCACCCCCATCTGCTTGGGCGCCTGAGGCCCTGGGAGAGGCATTGCTCTCCTTAGGACCCTCTAGGGCAGGGCAGAGAAAGGAAGGAACCCAGAAGTCTTGGGCTTCTTTATAGAGAGTTAGGACTTCTTAGAATAAACCTAGGGAATCTTGCAAACAATTTCCCTAAATGTTATGAGTCCTGGAAAAAGAAAAGTTCCCAGCATCCACACAGATCCTCACTCATCCCGGAAGAGGAGAGCACTTCAGAAGTTGCCAAAAAGTGAAATCTGCAAGCTGCAGACATGTTATTACAACCACTCTTGGTCTCAGCTGGAACGAGGGTGCCCACTACCCATCTCTCCCCTCTCAGCTGGTTGGCTCCAAGGATGGGCAATGTCCACCTACCCCAGGCATCCTGGGGGCTTAGCCCACCCCCATTGGCAGTGTGTTGATTGGCAGTTAGGTACTGATGAGCTAGAATTTCCAGGTGAGCTGGACTCATCCCACCCAGGAGCTCTCAGGCTGGTTGCCCACCCTCCACTCTGTCTGGCCTCTCACCCTCTTCCTTATTGCATCTTCCCTCTTTCCTTCCTTTCCCCCCTTCCCAGGGCCCAGATTCTGGAATCTCTTCCTTTTTCTCCTACTCCAGCCCTGGAAGCAGTGGCTGCAGAGGTGGAATTAGATGCACCAAAAAAAAATTCATCTTGGTCCCCACAGTGCTGACCTAGCAGTTCCCAGCTCTGTTATGGCTTTGTGTACATCTCCAGTACCTGGCCCAGTGCCTGGCACATAGGAGGTGCTCAATAAATGGATGTTGAATTGAAGTGAATTAAACTGAATCGCCCATATGCTATTACTCTCTCCCCAAAAAGGCCATCTGCTGGGCAGAGGCAGAGAGGGGTCCCAGAAGCTGTCAGAGTCCCATCTCTACCCCCTTTCCCCAGACTCCTGCCCTGGGCTCCGACCCCCTGAGCCCGG